GGAGGGGCGGTGGCGCGTGTCCGGGACGGACACGGCCTCCATGGCGGTGGCGGCACTCGGGAGTCCGCTCCCGAGCCGGAGCGGGAGGCGGCGGCACGCTGGGCTGTGGCCCGCTCGGCTGGGCCGTTGGCCCAGTCAGGCGACGCGGGTTTTATTTTAAAATAAAATCCACCGAAAAGGAAAATCCTAAATAAATATTAAAAAAATCTAAAAATGCCAAAAACAATTTTCACCATCTAAATAAAATATTTAGAACGAAGTGAATATTTTTCTTAGCCTACAAATGCAATTTTGAAAAATACATATTTTTCTAATTCGAATAAAATATCAATAAAATCCAAATAAAATTATTTATTTTATTTTAATATTTTTCCTTCAATATTTCCTTTATTTTGGAGAAGTCATATTATCTCCTCTCTTTTATTTTTTTTAATATTGGAAATATTAATTGGAGAGAAAAATAATTAAAACCAAGATGATCCTCTTTTCAATATTTGAGAAAAACTCAAATATGAAAATAAACGAAATTTCCAACTCTCTCCATGGGTCCTTGAGTTGCTTAGAATTTCTAGGATCAAAACCAAAATGCAAATAAAATATGATATGCATATGATGACCTATGTATAACATTCCAAATTGAAAATTTGAGATGTTACACGTAACATCCATGCCCCACAATCAAATCATTCTACTCTTTTGACGGAAAAGAGAGAGGAGCCCCCGATCTATATTTCCATCGAAGGAATTTAAGTTCATTGAGGGTTTGTTACTCTTGGTGGTTGGAGACTCTTAGGCGATAGGAGTCTCCGGGAAGGAATTAACTTATGATTTGCATTCAAAGTTTGGGAAGGTTTGGAAGCCGCCTCAAAGTCTACCACTACTGGTTGTGAATCACTTGGTGATATCTCTAGGAGAAGTTGGTTAGCCTTTCCGATATTGGTGTGCCTTCGTGGTAACATCCACCCCTCCAACACTGACTAGTTTCCCTTCAAGGAAGTAAATATTTGGCTACATCTTCTTCTCCGTGGTTTTCTCTTATTTTATACCCAACTCACTTACTTGTGGTTTACTTTGGTCACTCGACCTTGCAAACATCATATAGGTTGTGTATGTCATGGTAGCATTGTTTAGGTTCACACTTTATGTAGCACAAAAACTAAATTTGTTGATAAGTGTAGTAAAAAAATTAGTTGTCTCTATTCAACTCTCTCTAGGTCCATCTCGATCAATTAGTTGTCCCTATTCAACCCTCTCCATGTCCATCTCGATCATTCCAATTGATATCAGAGCTTTGCAGTCTTTTACATAGCTTAACCGTCGTAGAGACAGATGATCACCAAGGAGGAAGTCTCAAGGCCCTCGCGGAAGCTTCCAACCCCTTAACTGAGGGAACCTCGAAAGAGGATAGGCTTTATACCTCCACGGCGGGCTAATATGGTGATACATGAGATTGTGAGATTTGGTTTTGTTAACCATTCTGATGATGCTCTTGTTAATAGTGTTCTGCCTTGCGTGGTATATGCTTAATGAACGATTATGATATATGTGTGTGTTTTTTTAAATGTCACTCTTGTTGAGCTTCCTAGTAGGCCAACTCATCACATATCTGTTCTATGGCTTGTGCTTTCTGCACCCGTGCGCGTTAAATATGGATCGTATCGGAACTACTTTTGCAAAATGTGGTGAAAAGTGACCATACTTCTAAAATGTCTTCCAAGTTATCACCGCTTCACACATAGGTGTTCTAGATAGATGGATCAGAATTAACTCGAAATTTTCAATACGATTCACTAGCCTTCGCTATCAAAGCAGTGACGCTGCTACAGTTCTGAAGATCTCATCATCGTGGAACACGAGAGTTCAACGCGTTGCGAATGGCCGTTTAAAACATAGTACGACGCATTGTGTGTTAAACGAGGCTGCTTGTAGATGGTTCTCTATCTAATTTAACCCTTTATTGAAATATGCATGCGTGGAATCTTTCTGAGGGATGCTGTGCAGTCTGTTTTGAGGTGCCTCTCCCGGTGTCCAGTGAGGGTCGGTGATCCGTTGCTGTCGAACATGCCCGGCCTGTGGCGTATGACGTCGATCACCCGTTGAACACATCTCACGCGTTCGTAGCTATAATAATTCAGCAGCAGAAGAAGAGAACGTGCGCTGATGCACATTGTGTGCAATGCCATGCCATCCAAGAAGAGTGCAGATGCACACAATGCGGTGCGACCGACCAACAAAATCAAATTATCGGCGACTTTCTGTTGATCTCATCTCCGTCCAGACTCACTCGAGAGCGATCCTTATTTACGAGGCTTTTCTTGTGGGCTCCCGGAGCGGCCAAGGCGAAGAGGATCCAAGTGAGCAATGGTGAGCACGAGCACCCACACGTTGGTGCAGCGGCGGCGGAGGCAATGGACGCTGGCGCTGGTGACGGTGGCGTCGCTGCTGGAGCGCGCCGACGAGGCGCTGCTGCCGGCCGTGTACAGGGAGGTGGGCGCCGAGCTGGGCGCGTCCCCGGCCGCGCTGGGCTCCCTCACGCTGTGCCGCGCGCTCGTCCAGGCCGTGTGCTACCCGCTCGCGGCGTGCGCCGCGGCGCGCCACGACCGCGCGCGCGTCGTCGCCGCGGGCGCCTTCCTCTGGGCCGTCGCCATCATGCTCGTCGGCGTCTCCGGCACTTTTGCCCAGGTCAGCAGCCTCCGCCTCATGGCATGCCTACTTGAATAGTTGTAACGGTGCGAACTACAGCTGAAAACACACTGCTACTTTTGACAGATGGCGATCGCGAGAGGGTTTAACGGCGTCGGCCTGGCGCTGATGGTGCCGGCGATGAACTCCCTGGCGGCCGACTACAGCGACGACACGACGCGCGGCTCGGCGTTCGGGTGGCTGGGGATGGCGAGCCGCCTGGGCGCCATGACGGGGGGCACACTCCGCGTGCTGCTCGCGCCCACGACCTTCCTCGGCGTCCCCGGCTGGCGCCTGGCATTCCACATACTCGCGCTCCTCAGCGTCGCGCTCGCCGTCTCGACGTGGTTCCTCGCCTCGGACCCCCGTCCGCCCAGCACGTCCGAGAAGAGCACGGCAACGGTGGCCAGAGAGCTCGCCATGGAGGCCAGGGACGTGGTGCGCTTGCCGACGTTCCAGATCCTGGTGGCGCAGGGGGTGGCCGGGTCGGTGCCGTGGACGGCGCTCACCTTCGCCGCCATGTGGCTGGAGCTCGTGGGGTTCACGCACTGGGAGACCAGCGTCATCACCAACCTCAACCAGCTGACCGGGGCGCTCGGCTCGCTGTTCGCCGGGCTCATCGGGGACCCCATGGCCCGGCGGTTCCCGAACGCCGGCAGGGTCGCGCTGGCGCAGGTGAGCACGGCGTCGACCGTCCCGGTCGCCGCCGTCCTGCTGCTCGCGCTGCCCATCGACCCCTCGGCCGGGGCCGCGTACGCCGCCGCCTTCGCCGTCCTCGGCTTCGTCATGCCCTGGTGCCCCCCGGCCACCAACAAGTGAGCAATGCTGGTGGCAAAACTTTCCATTCTTTGCATGCGCTGCTTGCTAACTGGGGTCCCTTTGCAGCCCGATACTCGCGGAGATCGTGCCGGAGAAGGCGAGGACGACGGTGTACGCGCTGGACAGGTTCTTCGAGACGATCTTCTCGTCGTTCGCGCCGGCCGTCGTGGGCATCCTGGCGGAGCGGGTCTTCGGGTACCAGCCGGCGTCCGGCGGCACCGGGAAGGCTGAACGGGAGAACGCCGCCGCGCTGGCGAAGGCTGTTTTCGCGGAGATCGCCGTGCCCATGGCCATCTGCTGCAGCATCTACTCCTTGCTCTACTGCACGTACCCATCGGACAGACAGCGCGCGCAGAAGGCGGCTCTGGTCGCGCCAGAGGAAGAGGACTGTGAACATGCTGCTTCTAGTACTCCTACTGGGGTGGATGGCTTAAACCAGGCATTGCTGGCCAGAAGTGACTAGCAGCATATCTAAGACAGGCTTGGCTACATGGACAAAATTGTATATATTTTTGTAGGTCCACTCAGGAAGGCAACTTACAGGCTTTACAGCCATATATTCAACTAGATGCAATTTACAGGCTTTACAGCCATATGTTCAAGACAAGATCTCAGATGCAATTGTTAATCCTCTAAACTAAAATAGAAATATGTACCAGATAATATATAGCCTCCCTGAATTCCAGTATCGGAGACGGCATACGAGTTAGATGAGCAGAAAAATATTTTACACAAAAAAAGACCTGTTAGATGGGACTAAACGAACACACAAGTTAACTAGGCCAAGGAGCTACGGCAGACAGGACCAAATAATTCAAAATTCTTTAAACCGAACAACTTTCTATAAACCAAGATTCAACATGCTGTCACAAATTATTCCCTTTATAAACCAATTACAGAGAAAAGAAGAAGATGAAATGAAAAATAAGAGCAACCATTCATCAAACCACTAAATTGTTTCCAGGGATTACCCTGCACAAAGTAAACAATTATGTTAGAAAACAGGCGTTTCAATTATAATCTATAATGTGAACACATGTTCTTGCATCAGGCAAGAAAAGAGAGTAATCAATATATAAATCTAATTAGCATAATTCACAAGGGTATGTGAAGTTGATAAATCTAATGGGCTACGGCCAGACTAGCTTGAAGAGTATGTGAAGTTGATAAAAGTTGCTGCAAGAGCTACCAAGTGAAAATAAATAGGATTAATACAACAAATAAATCAATGCATCAAAACTTCAAAAGGAAAGGGAAAGCGAGATGTTGCTAAGCTGACAAAATCTATTATTGTACAAAAGAAACAGTACCTTGAAAACAACAAACTTGACTACGAAATGATGCTTACCTACTTACAAATCCAAGAAGCCTTCACATCTGTCCACTAAATCCGAACATGTCAGGGATGTCTCCACTGCTTCCAATGCTGTGACTCAAGCTGTTAGTTGGAGATTCAATCTCATCCACTGCAAAGCGGTTCGGGATGCAAGTACCCTTCCCAACAAATCCAAGATTTTTTCCTCGTCCTTGATCAGGCAATTTCCCAAGGGCTGCATTAGAACTCTGAAAGCTAGACGAACTGGACACTGGCTGACTTGGCCCAACAGTATTTCTATAACCATCCATATTTTGCAAAGAAGACCAGCCACCTGTGATATCATTTGGACTCTGCAGAAAACCGAACTGTGCATTTTTTGACTGAGAAGACAGCAAGCCGGAATCCATATGGTTGGCATAAGCATAGTTTTGGTTAAGAGAGTCAGTGCTCTCAGTCTTTAGAACACCAGGTGGTTTAGAGCCCATTCCCATAGAGTTCTGATTAACCAGATATGGAGTATTACCAGTTTGAAAGCTACTTATTCCTTGTGATGGCATCACATTTGAGTTACGATTCATGAGACCAGGAAGATTTCCTCCATGGCTACTAATGAAAGGCTGACTGGTTGAAGCTTGGTTAATCAGATCAATCCCACCTAACAGACTGTTTGATGATTGAGAAGTTGGGAGAACAAGTTCAGGCTTCATGGATGGAGGAATGCCTGTTAGAAAACCTGACGATTGAGAAGGTATAATCAAGGAATTTTGATTAGGAGAGAGTCCCTCACTAGCTGGGAAAGTATTTAATGACTGAGATGGCATTACTATGCCGGAAGGTTTGACATCTAGAGTGTGAAGGGTTCCCGACAGCATGGTATCTGGCTGCTGTTGCAATTCGTGCAAGACCATATTGCTATTCTGAGAATTATTCACATGACCCAGTGCGCTCATTGAATCTGACATACCAAGTTTGTTATTGGGCCAAGCTGAAAAAGAAGGCATTCTTCCAACTGCAGAGCTGTTTTGGGGTAATGCCGCATATGAATTATTCTGGACCTTGTATATCGGCTGCCCAAATGCTATTTGCTCTCCATGGGGCTTATTTCCTTTGACTGCAGCAAGTCGTAAAGATGACTGGTCCCTTCCAGGCAACACCAGGCTGTTTGTAGGTCGTCCTAGGAGCTCATCCTGCAAAGCTGCCAGGGCTTGAGGAGGGATTTGACCTGAAGCAGCCAAAGCTTGGAAATCAAGTCCTCCCAAGGAGGCCACTTGAGCACTAGAAGCAGGCACACTATATGGATTGGCCATTCCTGCATGATGCTGAGCTATCCTTTTCAGATACAATCTGAATTTCTGCAAATAGAAAAAAATGCATTCCTTTCAGCATGATTATCATGTATAACTGACATAAAGTTACCGCAATAAATCAACTCAGCATACTGCTTCGCAAAAAACAAATTACAACTGCTATTCCCTCGCAGCTGACGTGGTCTTCAAGATGTAACTTCGACCACTGATTATTAATACAGCATATGTACAAGACTTACTAACATAATATTCAACAAATATTTTTTGAGACAAATCTACAAATATGATTTTGGAAAATTTCAAACAGAATAATTAAAATGATGTCTGATTATCTGTAGTCAGGTTTAAAAATATGACTGAAGGCATGTCCAAAAACGTCAGTTATGTGTGATACGGAAGGAGTATATGATGAATCTGGAGGTAATAAGGATAGTTTTGGGCTCAGAAGACATCAGGCAATATAACCTGTTCGAACTAACGGGATGCACAGAGGAGATAACTAGCATGTCAGCATCAAACCACTAAGAATAGGGAATGCTTCTTGTCATACATCTACCAAAATATTGGAAAGCATTCATTCATGTTCTCACAATATTTTTTAGTTAAAATCTACAACTTGAGGCAATTGCATTTTAGAACAAAAAAATTTAAGCTGCACTGTAGTCACTAAAGCATAATTTTCTGAAAATCAAAACTAATTCTAACAGAAGGCCCTTAATTCATATTGCTAACTAAGCTAGAGAGGATTCTTCGAGCTAGGGATAATGAGGTGTAAAATGTACACAGTTACTAACATCCAGGAGCGTAGAAAACAGTAAAATAGAGAAGTCACCAGTAAACATAAGTTCAATACATCATCTCCTTAAGGATACTAAAAAGGTAGGAACATTGAAGACAATAATCAAACCTGCAAATGGCTGGCGACGTTTTCCCTAGTTAAACCAGGGACATTCATCAACTCCAAAATTTTCTTGGGAACAGCTTCTGTAGAAATATAAAAAATAAAATGAGACACAAAAGTGGAGAGAATTGGCATACTTCTAAATCATAGGTGTTCAACAGACAACACTTGCTTGATAAAACTAGTATAGAAAGGACTTTTATCCTACTTACAGTAATGTACTACTCCCTCCATCCCATAATATAAGAGCGTTTTTTACACTACACTAGTGTCAATATTATGGGACGGAGGGAGTAATAAACACCAAAGTTGATAGAATAAGTACTAAAGCAGGTAACAAAAGCTTACTGTCTATTCCGAGGTGATTAACTGCATTTACAAATTGTTGATGGAGCTCAACTGACCAAACAACTCTGGGTTTCTTCGAATTATTAGAAGGATCACCACTTTCCAATTCACTGTCATCCTCTTCTTTATCCCGTTTCTTTTTCTGAGACTTCCAGCTATCCTCAGCTCCATCATTTGCAGAGGAAGCATACTCATTATCATTATTAGTTAGTCTGTTCCGATCTGTATCATCTAAGCTACCTGAATGCTCATGTTCCTTGCTTCCACCAAACTTTTTCCTCACAACATGTTGCCAGATGTTTTTTAACTCTTCCATCCTGACAGGTTTAATCAAATAATCACATGCTCCATGTTTTATTCCTTTCATTACTAGATCCGTCCTTGAATCAGCAGACATCACTGAAATGTCATCAACAAGCTTTAGTATCGCATCCCATTCACAAGTGAACATACTGAACAGGAGATAGTAGAATCTTTTTCTCGAACACAGGAGATAGTAGAATTTACTTACTAATAACTGGAAGATCCATCTCAAGGCCTACAAGTTCAAGTAACCTGAATCCATTCATATCAGGCATGTGAACATCACTAATTATAACATCAAAAGCACCCCTGTTCTCTCGCAGCATAGCTAATGCTCTCGTGGCCTGAGAACAAGTTGTAGCTGCACAAAAGAAAGGATTATATGATGGAGCAGAAAACAATACAGTAACATATATTGGATAGAGCAACATTTCACTGGTTGGCAGTGACAGTATAATGTGCCTACCGAATGTATAAGTCATGTATAGCCAGACAGAACGTTTCAAGATGTTCATGGGTGTGCAAAATGTTTTGAGCTGTCCTGTTCTATATTTGGGAGCTCTCGGGGAAGAGTGTCCTCCAGGCAGCCAACCAGAGGGTGCTTCTACCACATGACGCATGTCTTGTCCTGAGACATTAGGAGATTCATTTTCTGGTTCCCGAGCGTTTTTCTACTGGTCTTTCTTTTGTATCTGCTTACTTCAGGTTTTGTCTTACATGGAACATGCTGGATATTTTTTGTGCAGTTATTACCCAAAGTGAACCTTGCCAAATAAAAACGTCACAGACGCTACAAGCTCCACGGAGTCACATGCCTTTGGCCTTTCAACTTTTCTATAGATATTGAAAGGGGGGCATAGGTTAGAGCACTCATTCATCAAAGACGACATGAGATGTAATGCTGGCTACCATGCATTGAGCGCAGAAGGCAGGACCACTTATTTCACTGAAATAAGTACAAGTGGGTCTACATATGTGAAGATCTTGCTGCACAAAATATAATGAGGCAAATGGATCATTATTTGATGTGCGGTTGAGAAGCAACAACAAAATTTATTAGAGAATTAAAAACATATACCCATGCACCCAGAAGAGAAAGGAAATAGTGCAAGCCATGCAAGCATGGCTCCCATCATGGAAAAACCATGCACACCTTGTTCGATTGCAACACGAGCGAGCAGATGGTGGTGCCACATGTCAAGCCGCCAAGGATGCTGAACCAGCTTTCGAAACGGTACCAACTACTTAGCATTTACATTTATATTTATAGTAGGAAACATCATTCAATTGTAGCAACATTGGATAAGACAATCAAATCCACCACTTTGTTTAGTTGCGACACAAGCAAGCACATGGCGTCGCCACGTGTCAAGGATGCTGGACTGACCTTTGGAAAGGGTAAGCGGAAAAATCATTCAACTGTAGTAACATCAGATAAGACAATCGAGTCCAGCAGCCTCTGATGCTAATTTTCTCGAACATTATGTCCAGCAAATGGAGACAGATATGTCCCCTCCCCACATATTAGATTTGTACCAAACTAGCATTCATAGCACACTTACTGCGGTTCGGGGGGTACAACCTCCAAAGGTTGTAACCTTCAAGCTTCCTATGGCAAAAGCTACCCATCCACATGAATGCCTAGTAAGTACACTATGCACAGAATAGGAAAATTAAGCAATAGCAGCAACAACAATACAACACAATCAGGAGCCTGGTTCTCTCCTTACACTATTTCCCTATGTATGTGTCTGGGCATTTGCGCCCAGAGTAGAATCTATAGGCAAGGGATACATATGAGCTCATATATGCAGTGAATAATAGAAACAACATTAAGGTTGCGCAAATAAATAGAGACAGGCATTACAGTCGAGCAAATAGATACATCGATGCTAATTGGGTTGAGCGTGCATCCCAGGGAAACACTCCCACGTCAGCCCTGATCAGACGGTACATGTTTCCCGTTGGATTATATTGACAGCGTGTTGCAGTACGTGTACTAACTTACTGTTCCCAAATAGAACGAAACTGTACATCAACCATTTTCGGTCATTAGGCCTAAAATAAGATTACTACGGTAATAAAAGGCAAAAAATAGGCGCATCAACTATCTATTCCTAGAGACATTGCATGCGCTGTTTATGTACTAGCTGGAATCATAACTGGAAACTCGCGTGAATCACCGGAATCTAATCCTAATACTCGTGCTAATGGGTAAAGTATTGCGAATTAGCAATCAGTAACAATAGACATGAGCCTGCTCAGATTCTTCCTCCAGCCAGATCTCCAACGCAATTACCAGTCCTTAATCAAACACACATCAGAAATCCATTCCCCAGACAGATAAAACCGGGAGAAGGGGGCACAATTTCTCGAAAACGGAGGATTACAGGACCGTTGAGAATCCCCTAGAAACACGGAAAGAGCAAATCAAACTCCTAATAAGCATGAGCTTTCCAACTATGGACAAACCAAAACACAGCTACGAAGCAACGGAGCCTATAGGCCGCCAGACCTACGTACGTGGGCACCCAATCAGGCGGCACCAGAGCAGCACGACACCACACCGCAGCAAGCGAGACGGGAAGGAGAGGAGAATCCGCTCACCGTCGTAGCGGCACTGGACGAGCATCCTCTTGAGCACGGCGAGGCACGTCTGGTCGTCGTCGACGACCAGCACCTTCATTCCCACCGGGAACTGGTCCCCGCCGCCGGCCTCCTCCGGCGGCGCCATCACGCCGGCGGAAGCCTCACCAGCCCCCGTCGCTCCCTCGGAGAATCACGCGCGAATCGCCTCCATCGCGGCCGCAGATCCGGCTCGGTGCGCGCGGCGTGCTCGGGCTCCGGCTGCGGCGCCGCGGATTCGGGCGGCGAGAGGGCCGTGGGGGGAAAGGGAGCAGCAGCGCAGGGGAGGGAGGGAGGGAGGAAGAAGAGGTGGTGGGCTGCGGAGGAGGGAAGGAGGAGGGAGGGGGGAGACTAAATCGCTAAGCGTGATTAGTAAAGCAAGTAAATTACGAGATTTCGGGATTAAATTCTGTCAGGGGGCGAGCGATTAGGAGTTAATGATTCCGCGGGGCGCTCTCTCTCTCCTCTCTCTCCCCCCTGCTGCGCTTTCCACTTGCGGCGGCTGTCTTTTTTTCCTCCTCCTCCTGCCTGGGGTGGCTGCGTGCGCGCTTAGCTGGCGGCTACCCGGCGCTTCCTTTTGAAAACAGGTTGGATTGATTTTCCACTGATTTCTTTCCATAATTCTATGATTTCCTTCCCCGTTTACGCCTTTTCGCCAGATGGAATTGATTAACTTTCCTAAGGCCGGGCGTGGTGCACTGTGTAACGGCTGTTAATATTTGCTGGATTTGAAGCGTGGCCATAAATTTCCTAAGAAGGCAAATATTGCCTTAAAGGACTAGAAAACTGGCGGGATGGTACGAGCTGCATACACGTAGCGAGAGCGGTCCTCCTCGCTGGCCATAAAATACTAGACAACTGGCGTGACCCCTCCAAGCTGCATCCACGTAACGAGAGCGGTCCTCCTCGCCGCTTCCCCCTTCCTTTCGTGCACTAGCCACTCCATCTCCTTCCACTGGTCGAGCTAGCGCATGCTTGACAAATCTGAGTGACTGCCTCAACCCCATCAATGGGCTTGCTTTGAAGTCTAACACAAAATGATATAGTAAGAACCTAGGTCTTGTAAAGGTTGCCATTGCCTCTTCCCCTTCGCTAGTTACGCTCATCGGTGTCTTCCTAGCCTCCTCATGTTACCACCAAATCAAAGATCCAACTTTAAAAGTCTATTAGCGGTGGTGTACGCCAAGTGTTTAGGAAACAACATAGTATGTGTCTCCGCCTCCCCTGTCGCACCGCCGGTCTCCCCTCTCCTCAATTGGCCTACCGGCACCAGATGAAGGGGAGGTGATGCGAACCTGATGGTAGGGTAGTTGTAATAGTAGGTTGGGGTTCTTCCCCATGACTAGGGTTGTTGAGTCGTCTGGCCTTCGTATTCGTCCATGAAAGTTAACTTCCATCTGGTCGGCAACACTCGGGTTTAAACCTTATGTAGGCCCTTCTTCGGTACATGTGATCTTCCTCCTATGATCAGCAGTTTATGTGGGAGGTAGTTGTTGTGTCCTAGTCGGGGCGACGAGGTGGCGGCGTTGCCCTAGAGTCAGAATAACATCCTCTCGGCTCATCCCCACGATGGTGGTGCGCCTAGCATTGAAAGAGGCATGTGGAGGTGTGTTTCCGGCAAATCTGCATGGATCTAGTTGACGTTGGTCTCTGATGAATCTGTTTGGATCCTGGTCGGCGTTGGTCTCCAGCGGGTCCGTCTAGACTCAGTCGATGCTCGTAGTCATTATCTGATTGCAGGTATGGCCCCTCTGGTCTATGTTTTCCTTCCTTGGCGACGGTTGTTATTCCGATGTGTTGGCCCTTTGGGGCCTTAGCACAACGATTTATCGGACTGTCAAATACAACAAGGTTTCCCAGTTCTGGTGAGGGGAAAGATGTCGATGTGCACCTTTGGCTCATTCGAATACTTGTAGTCACCGCTACGTGCTCCATGGACCTGGTTATAATTTTTGCCAGTTATGGGGATCTTTGTACTAATGCTACATATTATTGATAGATTGAACGATTTTTTGCAAAAAAAAAAGTCAAGTGTCAAAAGCACCCCTCCCCCTCAGGGAGAGTATGGGAGCGTAATACCCTTGCCACTACCTCCTCTCCTAGAGGGAGGGATAAGGGTGCTATAATTCCACTAGCAAAGACTCGTCATCATGGCCAAACCTAGGTCTCGCAAAGGATACCACTGCCTCCTCCCCTCTGACAGCTACGTCCATTGAGGCCTTCCTAGGTTCCTTCATGTGTTGTATCCAAAATCATGAAATCTAGTTGTCTCGGGCATTGCTGGTGGCGTCAAGTCAAGCGTCTAAAGACCCTTCTTTGTTCCCATCCCCGGAGGGGGTAAGGGAGTGTGTTACCTATCAACTATCATTTTTAGCCTTTGGAAGTCAAGTACATCACCATCGGAAGTTTTATATCTTCCTTGAGGTCCCCTACAACCACACCCCTCCCTCATCTTATTAACTATGCCTTCCTCCTCACACCCCCACCGAAGCCGAAGAAATCCTTTGGGCGGGTTCCTTATCTTTACTTAATACGGAAACAATAACTTGACTTCTTCTTATCAGACTGAAGAGGGGTTGATCCCTTTTTTGAAATAAAAGGGGGTTTGAGGGTGTCCCAGCCGGTTCCCATGGCCACAAAAGGCTAGAGGTTAGGTCCCATATCAAATGCTAATTGTACATTCACTCTATATGACCAAAGACTAAAATGCTCCATTTTGCAGATTTGTTGAGCGATAAATATGTGTGCTACTTGCAGGTTTACGGAAGTTCTTGGCATTTGTCCTCGTGTTGCATTCTTCGAGTATGGCATGAAGTATTGAGAGGTTCTGATGTTATGAACAGAGTTGTGTGAGGAATGATGTGGTGTTTTCCCTATGCAATAGATTATGGTCTAATCTAGTATTGTAATGTCATTTGTTTTATAATATACGCCTTTCACTGCATCTAATGATATGAGATATAATTTGGTTTTACTTCTATATGCGAGAAGCACGAAGATATCGTTGGGAGCAACTTGACGACCTTTCTAAGTTGTGTGTGTGTGCGCACGTGTGTGTGTGTGAAAAATGGTCGTGTCATGTTGAAAGACCACCATATTAGCTATAAATCACCAAAAAATTGTGTGTACTTCACAGGAGTGCAATGTTTGATTAGTTAGACATTATCACCTAGATGGGCATAGAACATTACCTATTTTATATCATCTCTTTTTTGGTCCGCGGAAGTAACAATGTCAAGTATTTATTTCAGACGGGAGGAAAATTGGAAATATATAATTAAATAATAATGCATAATGGATATTGATGTAGTGGTAAGAAACAAATGCAACAAAAATAATAATAACTATTGTTCTTTTTCTCGAACATAATTACATCGAATTCTTTCAAGATGGGTGAGAGGTTACAAGGGATGAATAGGAGACTACACAGTTTTAGGGACAAAGTGGATAAAGAAAGATCTACAGACATACAATCTACAACGAGAACTACCTATAAGGCAATCAAGCTAGATCCAAGGCAAGAAATTCAACAAGCTAATTAGTGGGCCAACGAGCATATAAAGCAAGTAAATGAACGACAAAGGATAAATCACACGAGTTGCAGACGCATATGTATCCCAAAGTTCACACTCTTCAAGGAGTGATAATTTTCGTTTGAGATGTGCCAAAGCCAAAGCTCTAGGATGCCACCAAGTGGCTCACCGTAGTCCCCTTTTGAGTTACCCCTAGTGGATGAGCCTCAAATCACTCATGGTTGGTCTTTAAGGAGACCACCGGGCCTTTACAAACTTCCTGGAGCACACCACAATCAAGGAAACTTTCAGTCCTTGACTCCTACTACCTAGGAGCCTCAAATCTCTAAGAGTAACGAGTGTTGGTGATGGATAAGGAGGAGAAATACAAATTGGTTTGGTGGAAACATAGATCGGGTGAACCTCTCTCAATCCTCGAAGTTTCGGTGGATTTTGAGTGGAGGGATTAAGAGCACTCAGGCTTTTGAGGTGTTCGAGATGGAGGAGGAGCTCAAATCAAAGGTAAGGCTTGGAGAAGGAAGACATGTGAGTATATATACCCTTTCTTCTAAAGTAGTTGTTGCCACCCAAGGGGCCTTGTGCGCACAGGGTCACCGATAGAAAAAACCCAAAACCGTGTCCACTGGGGGGAAGACCCCCGTGCACACGAGGTGTCCAGAGAGTTTTGGACCCAACCCCATGTGCACGAGGGTCAGAAGGCCCATCCGCACGGTTTGTCGAGAGAGAAATTCCTAGACCCCGTGTGTGCGGGGTATGTGGCACAAGGCACATGGAGATGGATTTCACCCCCCATATTTTTTAGTGGTAGGATTAGGAGGCTTGGTTTATATGTTTTGCATGATTTACATCCTTATTTAAACACCTCAACCCCTCTTAATAGTGTGGTCATCCTATTGACTCAAAAGAAACCAAAATAAACCTTTAATTCTTCGGAAAACCGATGTCTTTCTCCTTTTTGAAGTGTGTGTGTGTGTGGGGGGGGGGGTCAACCAACTTGAAATATTCTATATGAGAGACCAATGTCCTAAGATCTTAATAACTAACATTAGTCTTACTAACCCCATTGTTATCAACATCAAAATACCATTAGGTACTAAATGCACTTTGATGGGTCTTTCATAATATGGCTATAGTTGTGCTCCTTAATGCCACATGCCGAATATTTTAACATCTATGTGGATGTGATCAAGTACTTTTCTGTAGGGTAAAACAATTTATAGTTGTGCCAATACTAGTATGTATATATAATCTTCAAATGGATTGCGTAGATGTAGTTTTCAAATTAGCTAATAAATCATATCTACCAGAAACATTACTCTGTGTTTTGGAGCACAAAGATTAAATTAGTCGCATTCTTTATAAGTTATATTTTATAAAATGCATTTTACAAAGCCATGTATTTTATGATACTATTTTACAAATTCACATAGATAATTTATGTATGCATGATATAGATAGTGCCATTAGTTTGTTAAGATTGTTGTGTTTTTGTTGACACGATAAATGCGTCTTAAGTATCAATTCAAAC